TTTTTTTGTTTTTTCCAACACTCAAATATATCTGGCTAGAAGAAAAAATACGTAATTAGGAGTGACATGTGACACTATAAATGGTTTCTGCAAAGGGAATTTTCTTGTTTCTCTTCATTACACAGCTTGTCTGAATTGTCACATAAAATAATTAATCCTTACCTTAAACAATGCATTGTCCTTCATTTACTGAGAGAAATGTGACCTTTAGAAATAAATAAATTGTTCTGTTACAGATGGGATGTCAGAAACCAGCAAGCTATTGCCAGTTTCAAAAACAAGGAGCCATTCATAACTACAATTCATATTCTGTTCTCATTCTCCTGAAATCTTGGCTCCCTTTTTACAATCATTTGTAACTGTCTGTATGCTGAAAATAGATACCTAACAATATTGTTTAGCCCAAGACCAACTCCCTTCATATCTGCAGCTTAATTTAAGCAATGCCTTGTTTCCCCAACCACAGTAAATAAATACAATCTTAGGGTCTTCAATGTTCTGTACCTTCAGAAACTAAATCATAAAACATACAAGTGCTTCTCTTGTCGATATTAAAAAAGCCAAATTTAACCACCTCTTGTCTCAGGCACAAAATTAGCTGTTTAAATCTGTTAAAACATAAATATACCATTAAATTTTTCACTAAATAGTAAAAATGTACCTAAATAATCAGAAAGAGAGACATACAGGATACAGAAAAAAAAGCAGCTCCCCTGGCAGAGAAATAAGTCATCTCTACAGCAAAACACAGCAGCTCACCAGCTTACTAAAGAAAAGAAATCTTTTTTATAAGTTGGTGGGTTTTTTGAGTTTCAGTTTTTTGGGGTCAGTGGGTTCTTTTTGTTTGTTGGTGGGGTTTTTTGTTTTAGGTTTTGTTTTTTTTTTTGTTATAATATGTAAGGTCATCCCAGCGGAAACTTTTATGAGAGCACAGTTCAGTTATGAGAGCATATCGCACTCTTACCCAAGGACTCAGGCCAGACTTCCTTCTCAGGAACAGAGGAGCAAGGACTATTTTAGTGTTCTGGCCCTGACAGGGAAACAACAAAAAATAACTGCGGAAAGACACAATCATGGCACTCAGCTGCATACAGGATATCCTGATTTAAGTCCTCGGTCTCCTTGTTCTACATGTCTCCATACCAGGAGCAAAGAAATATCCTATTAATAGGTCTAGAGAAGTGATTTTTTTATACAAAAAGGTACATAAAATTGGTGTCTAGGAGATATTTTTAGCCATTTACCAGTTTTAGAAAAAAACAACTTCATTTCAAAGACGAACATTTAAATCCCAAACTTCAGCATAACAAGCTTCTTATCTAGATTTACCCAAGGAACTGGGGACAGTGCTGTGGGTGAGTGAACATCTAGCTCTCCACTATACTTGGTCCTCAAGGACACCTCTCATACTTATCAAATGAAGATGATTCTCTCTCAGGTAGAGAGAATAGTTGGCAACACTATGAAGACTATGCATTCAAATTGATTCTCACTATGCCCTTGTACAAACACTGAAATTTCAGTATTTCACTTTAAAATTTTAATGTATCATTTATGTTAATTTTCTATAAATGGGAAACAAAGAAAAGTATGCTAAGTATGAGGATATACACCCAATGCTTTCTAATAGTTTTCACAGAGAAATCATGTGAGGAAAAGTGCCATGTACCAGAAAGATTGAGAGACAAACATATTCAGAGACAATGAAACTGCAAAACTAAGCCTCCATGACACAGAAAGTACGCCCAGTTTCCTTTGGGCAAGAAGCTGTTTCTCAGGTAACCATCATGCCTGGCAAACAAACACAAGTTTCCTTTGGAAACAGGCTCTGATAAACACCTCTCGAGTCCTCACTTCAAGAAAAGGGCTTCCATTTTGCAAGATCACCAGATATTCTCCAAGTAGAGGAAGGACAAACTGCCAGACATGCCATCTCCTAATAAAGCAGTAATTGCACAAGCACAGGCCATCACACATAAACACCACCCTAACGTTAACAACCAGCCTCCAGTCCCAGTTGTTCAGTGTGAAGGTACACAACAAACTCAAAGTGATGCCCCATTCTTAGAACTACCAGCTTTGTAATTCCTCCCTCCACAGCCTGCAGTCCACAGCACATCCTCTTCTTGTCTAAATGGGTTTGGTAAAGGACACTCCATTACAGCAACCAATTAAAAGCATAAGTGCAACTTACAGCCATGATAAAATCTGCCACTTTCACTTAGCTTTCAAGAAAGGAATTTTTTATTGACAGAACAAGAATCATCCTCTATTTTATTTCACAAGATAGCCATGGAATTAATTTATGTAAGAAATTCTAAATACCTGCACTGCACACCGAAATTCACATGTACAGACACACTAAAGGGAACACAAGCTAGTACTATCACTGCAAGTATCCATTTTGGAAGTACTTTTTTGGATTTTGCTCTTAGCCAAGGAAGCCTTTGCATCCACCCCACTCCAACTGCTCCCTGTTTGCTAAAGCATACATTCCCTCGACATACATAGAGAAAAATACTAGGAAATTTTTAATCATGGCTAGAAGAAGAAGCTCTTTTTAAAGCAATGTAGAGGACAGAACACACAGGCAATAATTTTTCCAAGTTACTCACTACTTGAATTTGCTCTGAGGTAGGAAAGGTAACCAGCACAGACTTGTCACTACCTGATTAGCAATGCATGAATGGAATGTCCAAACACCTATGAACAGGTAAGTTGCATAAGCAGAATAAATTAAAACAAATAAAATGTGTTACATTCCATTCTTTTATCACGTGTAGTTTTTCCTTATCAAGTAGTGGAAGAAGCAGCTTCACTATTGACATTTACTGCACTTTAACTTAAGCAAGGTACAGATGGCTATGGCTAATAAAAACACATTATTTAACATTTCATCTATTTTCTTGCAACATCCCCATGACAAAAATGGAAGTTTACTACTATTCTTCCCTTTTGCATGCATTAAAAAATGATAAAAAAATAAGTGTGGAGAATTTACCTGGCAAAACCATAAAAAATTAATTGTCAAGAATAAAGCTGAGATTTATAGTGCAAGGTATACACTTGTAGATAGAAAGCAGCCCACACGACTTTCAGCACTACAGCTATCTTTGTTAGGACAAAATATAAGGAAAGAAAAAATTCCCACATTACCATAAGAACTTTCTTTTTTAAAAAGCAATTGATTTCACCGTGGCCCCAGTGTGGGATTTTAGAATCATTATGCCAAAAGTAAGAACTTTTTTTAATGGTGTAACAAAGGGTTCTGTACCCAACAGGAATCTCATCCCCACTATGAGCTAGGATAACCCACCCGCGTGCCCACTGTCCAAAGGCACTGACAGATGCTGCTCACCCCTCCTGAACAGACACATGGATGGCCACTGTATATGCAGGCAAAATAAGCCTTCATTTGTTAGTTGTTATGTATATTTGCTGTCAGCCCTAAAATCCTCACTTCTTTTCCCCCTGCAGAACAGGTAATGAGAATTAGCTAGACAGTGAACTAAAATGTCTTTTAGTGTCATTATCACTCATAATCCCTTTAATAGGTTTTTGAGAGAGTTAGCAATGGTAAACAAAAAAAAATATACAAGTTCCACTAGTTTCAGAAAAGCTTTTTTAGATGAGAGAGAAACCACAGAATATTCTGAGCTGGAAGGGACCCATAAGGTTCATCAAAGTCCCACTTCCTGGCTCTGCACATGGTCACCCCAGAATCATACCATGCGCCTGACAGCATCAACCAAGCACTTTTTTAACTCTGTCAGACTTGGTGCTGGTCTCTGGGGAGCCTATTCCAAATCCCCCCCTTCCCCTTTCCCCTCCCCTCCCCCAAAAAAGTATCAATTGACATTGATGCAAGATTAGGTAGAACAGAATCTCAATTCATGTTAACTAAATCTAATCCCAGCTGCTTAAGAACTGACATGTCTGAAAATAAGGACATGATACACATAGTTCTAAATGTCACAAAAACCTTTGCCAAGAAAGAACTTGAATTCTGGAAGAGCGCTGAACTGCGTCACCCTGAAATCTTGTCAAGAGTATCCATCCCACAGCTGAAATGCTGCACAAAGTTGGAGCTGTTGCCGCAGTTATTGGCTGTCTTTGAAAAACGGCAGCCTCTGCTCAAGTGGAAATATTGATTCCTTCGGGATGGCTCTTCCCCTACAGTACTACACTGCTTTGGAGATGGATTATCCCATAGAGACAGTTTCACAGTAACTGTCACTAAACAAAACTGAGGAGCTGAGGGCTCCAGGAAAGAAATGTAAACAATAACTATCTGCTGCTGTGTAATGCAACAGGTGCATCTGTGATTGGTGCATGTTAGTTGTTTCTAATTAAGAGCCAATCACAGATGCAGCTGCATCGGACTCTGAGAGTCACAAAATTTTGTTGTTTTATTCTATTCTTGTTCTTGGTAGCCTTCTGATCATTCTTTTCTCTCTGTTCTATTAGTATAGTTTTAATGTAGTATTTTAATATAATATATATCATAAGATAATAAATCAGCCTTCTGAGAAATGGAGTCAAGCCTCGTGTCTCCACACATGGAGTGTTCATCACAACATACCTTTGTGCCCTCATAAACCTGTGTTACACCAGAGGCTTTCCAGCTACCAGGATACAACAGGCAAGGGTCACTGAATGTTAACCTCACATGAGCCCCTTAGTCCAGCATCCGTAATACTCTTCTGTGTCTGTGCTCTGACTACAAGGAGTTGCCATAGAAAACACATCTTTTCAGATTTAGACTGCGAAGACCAATTGCTCCAAGGTTTCTTCCCATCATGTTCTAACTACACCAGTGAGTGAAGTCCAAGAACAACAGAAGGTAGATGACAGGAGCTCATGTTTCAACAGAATACCACTGGGACCAAGCCTTAGGGTGATATGGGGAAAGGCAATGTTGCAAAGGTAAAATCACTGCTGGAAAGATAATCAAATTCTTACAGAAAAATTGGCTTTAAACTCCAAACTATTTCAATTACCTTCTGGTGGTGGTGGAGGGAAATCCTCTGTGTCCATTCTAGTATATCCACCGCACCTTTAGCAGGCTGGAAAACTCTGCAAAAATGAAGGGAACATGTTTTGCAGATGAACACAATTTCCAAATATTGAGACACTCCTTTTCAATTTGGCCAAGCTCATACCTATTAGCTAATTCCATTATGGAAGAGAGGAAATTCGCCTGGCTTTGTGCTTCGATATGAATACAGCCCAAATTTTTCTGTACACAGCCCTCAGTATTGGAGCCAATTCTTTTAATGATCTCAGTAAGCCAGCTGAAGAAAGATAAAGTTTTTAAACTATTTTGTACTCTGCAGTTCCCACTGTGACAATCACAAGGAGATTACTAAAATATGTTATTTCAATGTCCGTCTGGAGCATATATTCTATCTCAAAATATTCACGAAGGGGTAAAGGACAAAAATTCTAGGAAGCTTATGAGTTTTCATGATGCTTTTCTCTATTCAGCAATCAGAAGTAACAAGTTTTAACTATACACTTTGTACACCGTTTCTTTCCATTGTTTTTTTTTTTTTTCTGCTAATCTTAAAAATTCTGCTTGAGTCCCTTTACTTCCACCTTTCCTAAGGAAAGTGAAGTACTAGTGGGTGAGTTCCTGAGGATCTTTTCTTTCAACTTCTTTTCTCAAATGCCATTGATCTCATGTTTTAAGGAAAAGAATAAGTCTACAAAGCATTCACCTACTTTGGTACTGAATACTCAACTGAAGACAGCAAAGCCCAGAACCCATGAGAGACATCATCCCACCTTCCCCATAATGCTGCTTAATAGTGACATTCCAGTATCATCCCAAATGAAAACATATTGTACTAAGCAATGCACACACTCTGCCCCCAGCCCACTTTCACTCTAACTCAAGAGACAGCATGTCAAAAAGACAGATTTCAAAATAGGGCTGAGGAGGAAAAGTAAGTTTCCAAAAGCTACAAAAGACAGTGGAAGAGCCAATGCTGAATTTTCTGTCCAACTCTTGAGTGGCCCATAGATGTTCATATGAAGAAGTTATCTCTTCTACTGGCAACAGAACAGCTCAAGCCTTTGGAAAGTCTCCATAGCCCAAATATGAAAAGATTAAGTTCAAGGAGACCGTGAAATTCAAGGTACAGTGGCAAAATAGTAAACTAAATGGATCAAAAGTGAAATCAATTGCCACTTACAGAAAAAGTGGCAGTGAATAGAAGAAAGCTTCAAAAAAGGATCCAACCCTAGGAGGCACCATGCAATTTACCTCCCTAACATTAGGTTTGCAAGGGTGAATTATCAGGACAGGTGTGCCAGGAAGGATAATAACTCTGGTAGCGCAAGTTCCTAGTAAGATGAGACAATTCATAACAACCTCATTTAAGCATACAAAATTCCCTTTTAAACTGTCTTAAAGCTTTGGTAACTCTTAATCCAGTCCTAGACAAAACCACGTAGCTTCAGAGCCAAGGCTCAGAAAGGATTCACCCAACATCTGTCTATAACACAATAAATTCCATTATATGCTTTCACTATACAGCGTTCCTTCTAAAGCTTCTCCACAGTTTACATCTACAGAGCCCCAAGGCGTGTTCCTGCTTACAGATGTCTGGAATGCATCCTGCCACACCAAAACTGTCAGCCAAGTGATAGTTATGGTTTGAAGAAATGGCTATTTTCCTGTGTATTTTTAAAGCTGCTCATGACTGGAGCATAGGTTTTCAAGCGTGACACATGTAATATCAAGCAAACCTCTGAAAGTGAGTCTCAGCACCTTTTCCAAATGCATCTTTAAGAGAGCAGCTAAAAGGCTTTCAGAATGATTTTTTTAAAATATATGACACAAGCTTTTAAGCATCTATCAAAGTTAACTTCCAACAATGATTTTTTAAAATCAATTCCTTCCTCACCAGCAAATATTAACAAGACACAGAGCTGAGCCATGGAGCTTGATTTCCATTTTGATCTAGCTCACAGTGACATGCTTCAAATTACACAAGAATTGTGTGAAAGAAGGACACAGACCCAGTGTTAGAGTCCTACCCACTGACCTGCTTGCTCCCATCTTAACAGTGCAGTTATTCACAAGAAGAAAGATACACTTTCTCACTTAAGAATGCTTCAGGGGTTGATTTACACATTACATTAACTCATTTTGAAGTTCCACATATTTTTTGCTACTTTTTAGATGCTGAGAAAAACCCTGCAGCAGGAAAGAGAGCTTGTGTATTACAGATTGCATTAATACCCTCCAAAAAGAAAATAATTGCCATATTATGTAGCAGACAGTACATTTATGAACAATCTCTAATAGCATCATATTTCAAAGAGAAGTTTTTCACTCTTCTTTTGAGAGGCAGGGGAACTAACTCAAAGATATTTAAATCAATATTAAGGCAGATGATTTAATTTGACTAGCAGCATATGGTACATTTGCATTTGCAGCTCAAGTGCCTTTCTCATTGATTCTCCTGCTAACAGAGTTACACAGCACAGCTTACAGGTGCATTTAGACAATAATCATGAAAATCATGAAAGCTCAAATTAAGCTGAAAGGGACTCCTGAATGTTCTCTCATACACCCCAGACAGGTGTTTTCAAAATTAAATCAGGTTACTCAGGGTCTTTGTCCCCATAAGTTATGAAATCCCCTGAAGGTGGAGGTTTCTCCACCCCCCAGAGCATCCTGCTCCTGAGCTTAACCAGAAAGCCCAGCAAGAGTTCTTCCGGTAAGCCCAACTGGAGCTGGGCTGCAGCAGCTTGCAGCCATTGCCTCCCATTCTCCTGCTGCGCACCCCTGAACAAAGCCTTGCTCCACCTTCTTTCCAACACTGCCTTGGGAAGTAGAAGACTGCAATTCAATCCCCCTCACTCCTTTCTTCTCAAAATGACGCAAAACCAGTTCCTTCAGCCTCTCCTGACCTCTTCCCACCCCCAACCATAGCACTGGCCTTTACTGGACTTGCTCCAGTTTGCCAGTCCCTCACTTGTACTGGGGCCTCACAATGAACACTGAATTCCAGACGCAGCATTGAGACCAAGGAGTAGACGTTACTTGGTTTAACATAAAATTATATTTAAAAAGTTAACAGCTTTTAAGACACAGAATATTAAGATTTTGTTCCAAAGGTATTTTAAAAAATGCAAAAAGAAAAAAGTCCTTATTAAACATGAAACACATGTGCTATTATATTCATGTGTATTTCATCATAAAATTATGAATATGAATAACTGAACAATTGCCCTGACTTAGTCAAAATTTCATAGAGGTTACAAAATATGGAGTTCTTTTTCCCTATGTAACATTGTGTTCTCAAACACAGTATAACCTCTGTTTAATGACTCAAAGCTCACCCTTCCAGACTCCACAGCAATCACAAGAACAAAGGGACAGGAAGAAGCTCTCAGAGTTACTTTATTCCCACTGGCATCCAGATGTGAAAGGAATTCACCTGACTTGGTGCTCATCGCCTTCTTTGCTTCCGATGCGGGTAGAGATAGTGACTGCTGTGGGCCACAGAAGTTATCTACAGATTGTCTCCTGTCCCCTCCTCCCCCATATTTCCCCTGTGTGCCCCACATACAGCAGATGCAGGGGGTGAGGCCAAGATGCACCTGGGCACTTTGATAAAAGGCAGCTGACCCACTCTGGTCTAAATACTGGCCCTCACTTCCAATGTCTACTTCCTGATGTTTTCATACAGTCCTTTCCTGCCAAACTGTGAGGAGGAATGGGCAATTCTTGCTCATATTTAAAGATAATTTTCTGATTTTTTTACCTACGCACTTATAGCTGAACCAATCTATCTAGGCAAACCACAGCTATTCCAACCCTAAGAGACTACTGTTCAAAATAAACCCTACTTGTAGCACAATAGCATGCTTTTATTACAGATGTTTAGCTAGTAACTTCCTAAGTTTGACACTAAAAATAATCATATTAAATGCATACATTTTAAAAGAAAAAAACTGCAACAGGTCCCTTATTGTACTGCAATATATTCAGCTCCTGACCAAGTCTGCAATGTTTTCTAAGTTTTAAGTTGATATTTAACGAAAAAAGAAAAGTAATTACAATACCACATTAAAATCAGAGGTTCATGGGCTATGTTTCTAATGCAGAGAAGTCCCCCACAGTTAAAGCAGTCAGATCTCCAATGGCACTCACAACAGAAACCAAAATCATTCAAGTGTGAAATAGTCCCTAAGGACAGCTCCCAACACTTCAAATTTTCCACCAACTACACTCATCTTTGACCACGAAAGCCAGTACTGAAGGAAGTGAGAGTCTGTGATGTTCCACGGCAGACCTCACAACCTCAAAGTGCTAATACCTGCAAAATCTGTGAGACTGAAATTCTGATTCCACAGCAAAGGTCAGTTTCAGCAAACGAAACAAAGGCAAAGACACCTTTATATTTATCCAAAGACTATAGAAGAATGTAAACATTCCTCTTTGAGACTCAGTTTTCCTTTCTCCTAACCTCTGGTAAATCCTTTTGCCTGCAGACTAGGCTTCTCAGCTGTGTCTGCATATCTGATTTTGTTCAATGATTTCCTCTAATTGTGGGACAAACAACAGACTATCAGTTCTCAGCTAAAGGATTACAAATACTGATCAACATCTGCATTTCCACTTCAACAAAACTATTTTCCAACAGTCACTACTTGTGCAGAAGTCAGAATGTAACAAAAATGGGACCGGCACAAGCTCTGCCCAAACTACAAGGCAGTGCAGCATTCAGAGCTGGGGGCACAGCACTTATGTGCTGAGCTCCCTAAGGGCACTCTTTGCTGCCAAACTTTCTCAGCTCTATTACCCTAAGAACTGTAATGGTGACTCACACACCTCTTATGGGTGTGTGCACTGTAACTGCAGCAACATCAGGATTCTTCATTCTTAACACTGCAGAGAGAATGAACATTTTATAATAGGAAACAGAAGCTGAATCAAGGAGACTGACTGCCAAGAAACTGTGACTTATATCTAGAAAGCCAGGAAGTCTAAAAATTAAGCTAAAAAACAACATCAAAACAAGAAAACTTGAGAAGGTAAAGCCCCTGAATGTCTAAAA